TTGAAACAAATTAGTAAAGGATATTGACATGGAAGAAATAACATTGGCTGTTAAACATGAAAAATATCAAAAGTCCTGGAGTAGATGGATTTCCAATAGATTTCTTTAAATTTTCTGGAAAGACCTTAAATATTGGATCTATAGAGTTAGTAAAGATATTCTTAATAAGAATCAAATGTCTTTTACAATGAAAAGAGGTGTCATTACATGTATACCAAAGCCAAATAAAAACAAAAATACTTTTAAAAAAGTGGAGACCAATAACTTTATTGAATTCACTGTATACAATAGTAAGCATTTGTATTTCTAAGCGTTTAAAAACAACCTTGTACTCTCTGATTCATGAAAATCAGACTGGATTTATACCTGGTAGAAATATAAGCGAAAACACAAAATTACTGTATGACATTATGTTTGAGAGAAAAGAAGAGACATCCCAGGTTTATTAATTTTGATGAATTTTGAAAAGGCATTTGATACTGTCTCTAAAGATGTCATCAATTTGGTATTAAAAAAGTTTGGTTTTGGTCCCCAAATTATTAACTGGATAAATATCCTAACCTATAATACAACTTCTTGTGTTATTCAAAATTGACATCTCTCAGAATTCTTTTCAAATGAACGGGGCTGTAGACAAGGGGATCCGTTATCACCATATCTTTTACTGTTTCTAGCTGAAATCCTTGGATGCATGATAAGACAAAATGAAAATATCAAAGGTATAGTAATTGATGATACCGAGTATAAATTAGTACAATATGCAGTTGATACTGAATTGTTTTTAGATGGTACAGAAAAATGTCTTTATTCTGCTGTTGATACAATTAATACCTTCTATAAGATGTCAGGACTAAAAATAAATATTGAAAAGACTAAAGCAATCTGGATTGGTTCAAAAACAGGCTGTGGAGATAAACTATGTCAGGATTTGAATATTGAATGGCGAAAAAATGAACTTGATGTTCTGGGAATTATATTTAACGCCGAACTGAAGGATTTATGGATCATCAATACAAAGAAAAAACTAGAGGAAATTAACAGATTATTGGCTGTGTGGAGCAAAAGGCATTTAACACTAATCGGCAAAATCACTGTTATCAAGACACTGGCTATTTCAAAGTTAGTTAATATTTCCAATACTTTACCAAACCCACCCCAAGATTTTGTTACCTCCCTTGATAAAATATTTGTAAAATTCATTTGGAATGACAAAAATGACAAAATTAAGAGAAGTAATTTGAAAAAAGATTATATACATTGGGTTTTAAGAATGATTGACATAAATACCTTAATCAATGCCTTGAAACTGTCCACTTTGAGACTTTATTTGAGAAAACTATCAATATGCAATCCATGCAATTTTCCTTTACATGATATCATGAAATAGGGTGCTAATTTATATAATATTGCTGATATTCATAATCCATATTGGAAAGATGTTTTAAAAGCATGGAATATGTATTGTTCTAACATTACCATAGAGGAAAGCAACATTGATGAAATTTTAGCACAGCCATTATGGTTTAATCATAATTTTAAAAACCAAAATCATTATATCAGACATTTGGCAAATAAAAGAGATTACTGTACTCGTGTCTGTCAGATACCATTTATCTTACAACGAGTTGTAAGATAAATGGTATCTGACAGACACGAGTACAGTAATCTGTTTCTTACACACCATAAAATCGCACGGTTTTATGGTCGAATATCTGTGGCGCATTTACTCTAACCTATATCCAAATTCCTGTATCCGTCCCCGAGACTGAACTAACTTTAGCCATATATGAGGCTTAAGGCTGTACATGTTGTTATATGCATGATCGTTAACTGGCTGAATTGAAGCATATGTTTTTTAGTAAATATATGATGTTTACGAAGCTCCATTATCAGACGAAATAGAATACTTTGAGCATAAACGGCAAGAAAATGGTGACAATGGTGACTTGGATCACAGTCAATCAGAATTGACACCAGGTGTTCGCGAAAAGGATTAGTATATCCAGCATTACAGGCACCCACCACTCAATTAGTACACACACATGTGTTTGTTACCTACCATGCCGACAATGAAATGATATCAACACTAGTATAATGTGATGTGATATGATTGAGTGAGTATAGTTTTACGCTGCTTTTAGCAATATTCAAGCAATATCGCGGCGGGGGACACCAGAAATGGGCTTCACACATTGTATCCATGTGGGGAATCGAACCCGGGTCTTCGGCAGCAAACGCTTTAACCACTAGGCTACCCCACCACCCCTTTGATGTGATCACCTGTGTAGGTTAAACAATATAAGTGATATGATATACGCGACAACCAGAAAAGTTCTTGGTCTATCACGGCGTCACGGAAACAATTAAGAGAAACCAGTGATTTGTATCATGAGTGAGTGAGGTTTTACACCGCTTTTAGCAATATTCAAGCAACATCGCGGCGGGGGACACCAGAAATGGGCTCCCCACGTTGTACCCATATGGGGAATCAAACCCGGGTCTCTGGCGTGACGAGCGAACGCTTTAACCACTAGGCTACCCCACTGCCCCATTAATATGATGAACGTAACAACGTCCCATTTACTAGCATCAGCCACCTAGCAATCCTAGTCAGAAATCCCTTTCTGATGAGGATAAGAATATAGCATTACAGCATCCATTATTTTGGTAAAACTCATGTTTCGACGTAACCGTATTCGCCACAATGGAGGTGACATCATATTACTTCCTTGTGAATACTCAATGCAGATAGCTTTTGGCTCGCTCGTCACAGCGGTACGTACAAGGAAGTATGTTACTTTTAAAGGACCAATTCATGCGTCTTGTTCACAGGCTCCTGATATATGTGTAGCTTGACACATAACGTGAATATTTTAAACGTAAATAATAGACTCCAGCGAAAAGTAGTATATGGGTGCATTGCATAGAACAGCACAACGGAGATAGAGCAGACTGTTAAACATTTAAAGACGTGTCAACTTTATCAATGTGATATTCATGGCTGGGCCGGGACTCTTTTATCGGGATACGTAGCAGGCGATTCAACGATTCGAAAATGTCGCAGTTCAAGTCATATTTGTCGTTTGACAATGTTAAATATTGTATGGGTTCGAACTGGTACATAATATATGTAGATACATAACACGACAACGCCATGCAATAAGTAGTCGGGGCTGTGGGGAAGCCTTGTGGTTAAAGCATTCGCTCGTCACACCGAAGATGCGAGTTATATTCCCCACATGGATATAATGTGTGAAGCCCATTTCAGCTGTCCCGATATTGATATTGCCATCTTGATATTGCTGGAATATTACTAAAAGCGGCGTAAAATATACTGACTCACTGAATAATCAGTTTCGATTATCTGCAAAACCAGATTATGCTTAAATGGCGTCCACCACGGCATCCTATAAACAAACAAGACAATAACCTGGTGGACCTGAAAATCAAGCTCAAGTAAACAAATTTTATTTTTAAAAATTAAACACAGGTGCAAAGTGAACTGACTGCAGCAATATCTGGGTCTAGAGACTGTAATTCTTATTATATTTCTTTGTACTAATCGTGTTGAATCCAAACAGGTGTGTGTTAGGAAACATGAATTATGTCAATGCCAGATATTAACCAGCTTGGTTATCCGACAAATTAATAAGAGCAAAATAGTTGTGAAAAATATGAAAATCAGTGATAAAACCAGGATTTCGCGAAAATATTTCATGTCCTGCCCATCGATGGCACCCTCAACTCTCTTATTTTGCATAGACCCATGAAGGTCCGGGTTAGAATATTGATCTTCAGTAACCCATGCTTGTCGTAAGAGGCGGCTAACGGGTTCCGGTGGTCGGGCTCGCTGACTTGGTTGACACATATCGGTTCCCAATTGCGCAGATCGATACTCATGCTGTTGATTACTGGATTGTCTGGTCCAAACTCGATTATTTACAGAACGCCGCCATATAGCTGGAATATTTAGGATATTGAGTGCGGCGTCCAAAAGTTCATGCTCAAGGCGCTGGTAACTCACTCGATCATTGGATGGAATTTTGTGCGGCGTAAAAAATGTTACTCTATTTTGTGACATTAACAAACCTAGTGCATAAATGCAAAAAGATGGTGCCAAATGCTATTCCCTTCTATCGACTTGCATGTAAAGTGAACAGTTGAATAGCCTTGCGTTTGTTATACTCACCCTTTCGTTAACACCTGGTATCATCACTATTTCATAGTGATTCATAAACGCATGATGCAGTCGAAATCAAGTGTGGTTTTAGTAGAGATTTCTAATGGATGTGAATATGGTTTATTGTTGTTATTTGCTTGACATGACACAGCAGTACACCTGCCATGCGACAAACGAACAGACGATGTGTGAGTGAGTGAGTAAGTTAGTGAGTTTTACGCCGTTTTCAGCAATATTCCAGCAATATCACGGCGGGGGTCACCAGAAATGGGCTTCACACACTGTACCCAGAATCACTAAGAATAGACAATGCACACTGTACCCAGAATCACTAAGAATAGAAAATAAAGTGAGCACCGATATAAATGAGGGTATAGTATGTTTAACATTTCGTGACAGATGCTGTCAGTTCTCGTATAAATCAGGAACTCTAACATGTGTATTTTAGCTCTTTAACGGTGGGGGTGGTTGGGTTGTCTAGTGGTTAACGCGTTGGCTCGTCACGCCGAAGACCCGGGTTCGAATCCCCACATGGGTACAATGTGTGAAGCCCATTTCTGGTGTCCCCGCCGTGATGTTGCTGGAATATTGTTAAAAGCGGCGTAAAACCAAACTCATTCAGTCTATAACGGTGGCAGATATCGCCTTATCCGCCTAGCAATTCTATTCAGAAATCTCCTAGGGGCTTTCGGGACATTGAAGGTATCACAAACGGCGACGTGACACTCTGTTACTTCCTTGTGAATACATAATTCGGAAACTTTACGCTGGCTTGTTACAGGGAAGTGTATTACCTGATATGAGACCTATTCAAGGTGGATGGAACATCACAACGTACATGTACGTAAAACAGACTGTCATGCCTTCAGTATCATATGCTTAAGGTCAATGAAATATGAAATTTTGTTCAGTGTGATCATTCATGGCTGAATATTTTTTTCAGATTCGTATCGGATTCCAGTCGGCAATTCAAGTCATATTTACCTTTGAACCCAGATTCGAACCAGTAAAGTTGATGTGAAAACTCAGATTTGAGGTTGAAATATGGGTTTAACTGTAGTTACCCAGAATATACAACGACGTGCATGCGTGTGTATAGTACTTTAGAAGGGGATGAAGCTGGTTATAAGAGTTCACTGAGAAATATGCCGCGAGCATGCCGAGTGACTCCGAGCCGACCAGTCCTTGTGTACCCAAAATGCCGAATCAGGGACCAACAAACCAGATTCGTCTTTGGTATGACGCGGTCGGGGATCGAATCCGCGAATATGGCGGAGGCTCTAAAAAAATTCAGATTCATTGTTAACGCCTATGTGATACAGTTGGTACGATTTGTTGAAAAATTGATATTCAGCCAAGGGACAAAAGAATCCCCAATCTTTTGAATACACAATGCCATTTAGAATCCGTTTCTAACTTCATGTTCTCATACTTTTGTTGGGTTGAGCCCCATCGAACCCATACTCTCAGATTCAGGCACCTAATCGCCAGCCGCGTGAGCTGGCATCTCATTGTAAACTACCTGAGGGAAGTTGATCTGTATCATAAATTGTAACTATGTAATGTGAATTTAGTACTTTTGAATTTAGTGCTATGACATTTTCTGTTGTTGAATAACAATGTAATGAATATATATGCTTTTAAAATAAAACTCATTTGGACTTTGTACTTAAATTGCGTATTAATTCAGGCTTGATCTCGTCACTATATGCCTGGAAAAATGCCGATGCGACGTAAAACCCAACTCAACTCAACCCTAATCGCCACCACACAAAGTCAGCCACCTAACCCGCTCAGCCAACGCGGCTTCCATAAAAATAGAAGTCGGACAACTAGACTGTGGACTTTGTGCAGACTTACAGTTTTTGTTGAAAATAAACACGATATGCTATTTTGATCAACGTTGTTGTGTAAATAGATTCTGCAGCTTGTTAGAGAGGAAACTAGAAGTACAACAAATCCCCCTTTTGCATAAAAAACCCTAATCGTTTGTTAGCTAACGTCACGCAGCTGTACTCCCCGGGGGGATATTTTGTGGGGGTTATATGAGAGTTGTGCTTTTGTAGAATAGTAACATATGCAGTCCATACGTTTATAGCTGACAACTCACTAGATCTGGGACGTGATAGGTCTATCTAAAAGACGATCTGGCAGTTCAAAGTAAGGACTGACTGCTCGCGTTTCATGGTGTCATGGTTGTTGCTCAGTCAAGTGTTGTACAACAGTGCTCTACCGGATTGTACCAGACGCAAATATAGCGGCTAAAAAATTAAATTAAAAGAGCTATGATACTTATTATTTGGACTAATTAAATAGATTCATTTAAACGCTTGTCTGATATTTAAATGTTTTGAAATCAGGACTCTTGGCAAGGACAAATTCAAATGTCAAAATCCTAAGACTCAAACTGGGTGTTTTGTAATGTCGATTAAGGTATAGTTATGCCATGTTCAGTAGCTATATATGGCAATGTGGTAGCATGTGCGTGTCAATGTTTTCAGATGGAACCGAGATTCCCGACAACTTTGATGATATGTCACCTTCCAGGGGCAAAACGTGAACATAATGCAGGTAATGTCGTACAATTTCTGATCAAAACTGAGAATGTACGAATTGCTGTTTTTCAGTTATACTTTACTTTGATCAAATTGATCTAACTACATACATGTACATGAACATACAAGTAGACCGCCTCCATGGTTAAGTTGATAGAACATCTTTCCTGAGAGCGGTAGGTCGTTGGTTCGATCGAACGCGCACGCACACACGCACGCACGCACACACACACAAACAACAACAACACATACGCACACACACATATGGATGAAATAATCCTCAACCCAACCTTTGTTTATTGAGAAACAATAAAACTACCGATAGCATTTATACTGTTATTCCGTTTCCGTTTCAGCATATGGAGACACCAATGGAGGAGAGCGTTTGTCAATGTCGGTATTGTTTTCACTTATGTAAAGTAATAATAAATACTTCTTCAAGTTTACTTAACATATGCTTTGCTCTTTGTTCTGTGCTTTTTATCACATAAAAGTCTGGAGCACTACCTATCAGCAATGGGTAAGTATTAGCCGGTTGCTAGAACTAACATGCTTTGTGTGTAGCAAGTTGGAGCTTTGTGTGTATTGGGCGTGAGGTATGCAAGGGTGTGAGGTATGCAAGGGCGTGTGTGTCATAATGTCAGGACTTGTCTTTTCTTCAGGATAAACATTCCATAATAAATGCAGCAATACACCAGGGTAAGCTGAGAAATGAAAGGATTTGCCTTGTGACTTAACGTTTGCTCACATTGGTCGGCGTGTATCATTGCTAATTGCAAAATATTAGTCATAAGGCATATCCTTTCAGATCCGTGTCTGATATTGTAGTGAGATATTTACATTTTAAGCCACAACTACAACCACAAGCGCTGCCACAACGCCGTCAACGTGCGGCCCTATGGCTGATGCCTCTCTGAACGAGGACTGCTCCAACGCTAGATGCGTGGCCGTCAACAGCTCATGTGTGACGACGTCAGCCGGAAACCGCAGATGTGCCTGTATTAACAAGAACGTACAGATATCTCCTACAGGATGCTCAATGGGTAGGTATTGTGATGATCAGCATGAGCTGTAAACATGTAATGAGAAGGACGCTTGTTACCTTACTAAAGGTTCAGAGTGTTATCAACAACCTTCAGAAAGGTTTCTGTGTTTCAGGGCCCAGTATTCTGTCAAGTAAGAAAACATCCGTCTTCGCCACAGATCTATCAAGAACATCACAACTTGGTAAGTCAAGCCATTTATTTTGAAAACTTTAAAAAAACCCAAACAAACCCGTGGAAATGTAACCCGATTGGTGTAACCCAAGCTGTGTTGATAACACGAATTATATTTTCTTTATTTTCAGTGGGTTCAATCCCTCTGGACGAGCTGAGTAAATTTCCAACAGTTACATTCTCCACAGAAGCTAGTGTATATCCTGATGAGGGGATTCTGGACCTGAGGAGGAGCTCGGGGAAGATTGATGTTGCATTGGTCAAGGAGATACGCGATGCTCAAACCTTTGTCGTGGTGTTACGTGCATCCGCGGGGGAGTTCAGTGTGCAGCAGCTTGTGACTGTCAGGATCACATCCTCCTCCTTCACTCCAGAAGACGTCACAGTTATGCTGGTGGAGGGAACCAGGAGAGGCACACTGATAGCTGACGTGAGGACTATTGGTAGTTTGGGGGTTACAGCAACTACGATATTGAGACCACAGATAATACAGCTAGGGCCTTGTTCCTTGTGACAGCCTCAGGGCAAGTTCTCTGTGGACAGGACATGTTTCTGAGTGACTTTGCCAATGACGACACAGTGGCTAAAGAATATATAGTCAGTGTCACGGCGACAATGGGAGGACAAAGAGCAACAGTTGCAACGTTTTACATCTTGTTCTTCAGGAGTAGTTTTACAAAAATGTTAAGTGAAAATTGGATAGGCAATATCTTGAGCTACAGTATAACAAGCTCAAGGTTTCGGATTGACATTAAGGAGGATACTCTCCCAGACAGGCTATGGCTAACAAAAGATCTGACTACCATAAGGCTGGTCAACGGAACTGATTACGAGGCTGGCATCAGAAGCATAAATTTTAAACTTGATCTCGTCACTACGGACAGTGCAAAGTCAACCACAGTAGATGTACGCATAAACATTGAAGATCAAAATGACGAACCTCCGGAGTTTCAAAAAGCAGTTTACGACTTTTTCCTGCTTGCTGGTTCAAAGAGAAATAGTGTAGTGGGTGTTGTTAGTGCTACTGATAAAGATACAGTTGGACAGACATCATTTCATTTGGAAGGCGCCTATAAAGACGACTTCACCATAAACGACGATGGTATTTTGACATCAAAGGTGGACTTAACAAGAGGGCGGTTCCCCTCCGCGATCCTTTTTCGTGTCAAGGCTTATGATGGCGTTAACTACTCTGAAGAAGCCAACATCACTGTGTATCTCATCTCCTACACCAGCAATGCAATCAACCTCAACAGAACCTTCCTTGGTAGCGTCAGCGAGAACAGCCCCCCTGGAACAAATGTTGCTGATGTTGCAGTGTCAAACTACACCGGTTACAAATTTGCAAACTCTCGGGCTAACAGTCTCTTCAACCTGGATCTTGTATCTGTAAGTCTTATGATATTTCTTATAGCTTGTCTACTTAAATATATCAACAGTAATGCATGTAATGTATGTTTGTGTGGCTTTAGGCTTATTGACTGAGTTAACTGTGCAAAATCCCAGTGACAAGTTTATGTATAAAATGCGTTTTATATACAACCGCTTTCTGATTGAAGGGGGTCGTCACAACAAACATTTCCTTGGACCGAGAGAACAACGACCATGCATATACTGACTTCACCATTCTGGCTTACATGGATAGTAATGACCAGTGCTCCCCTGTGGTGAGTGGACATATAAGGAATCTGTATGGATGTGTGTTAAGATATCTACAGGCGTTATCCGCATAGTGTAACGTTTATTGTATATTTTCATGCATATTTCTTAAAAATGATTCACGAACCTAATAATGTATGCGTGGAAAAATTGCTTCATTCATGAACTGTTTTTGACTGTCAAATTTCACACTTTTGAATGACTTGTAGAATTATGATTCAAACTTGAATGGACAATATAGTATGCATCTATCTATCCCACAGACGATTGGTCAACTCATTACAACTGTAACGGACGTTAACGACAACGCACCAACATTTTCCAGACCTTCCTATACAGGAAGTGTAAAAGAAAACTCAACTACAGGGACTCTGGTGGATGGTTTGGTGAGTGTGATGATTAACATCTTGAAAAGGTGACTTCCGACGTAAGTGTATTTAAAGGGAAATGTAAAGAATTTCATGTAGAGAGACTAGACAGTGATATTGGCGCTTTTGTATAGGTCACCAACATATGTACATATGTCTAGTTTTCATGCAGGTTCAGCTTCATCTATGGAGTGATATTGACACTTTATTGCTATTCAGATGTCCCAAAACATGTACATTTGTATATGTTCTCCTGCAGGTTGACGTAGTTGTTACTGACGACGACATCGGAGAGAATGGTGCCGTCAACTTCGCTTTGACGGGAACAGGCAGCAACTATTTTGCTGTTGAGAAATCAAACCACAACCAGTTCACCATCAAAACAAGCGGAACTCTGGTCGACAGGGAAGTAACTCCATATGTAGTCCTGACATTAACTGGAACAGACAACCCATCTAATCCCCAGACAGGCACCACTACTCTCAACATCACAGTCATGGACATCAATGACAATACACCTCAGTTCAACCCTGGGACGACTGTATTTTCGGTGGAAGAAAACGCTGGACCAACGAGTATCACTACGTTAACAGCTACGGACAAAGATGAAGGCCGGAATGGACAGGTGTCATACTCATTGGTAGAAGGGGGTTTTGGACTATTTGCAGTTGACGAAAGCACTGGCGCAGTATCGACAGTCAAGGAAATTGACAGAGAAAACAGGGATGTCTTCAACCTGTCCATTGAAGCCAGGGACCAAGGGTCGCCTTCTCTTGCATCAGTATTGACAATTACCGTCAATATTCGTGATGTAAACGACGAAAAGCCAACATTTTCACAGACATTCTACAAAGGTAATTATATAGAAAATACTCCATGTACCACGAGCATCCTGACAGTGGCAGCAACAGATCTGGATGAAGGGAGCAATGCCAACATCAGGTTCTCAACAACAAGTTCCAACTTTACAGTCGATCCAACCTCCGGCGCCATCAGATGTGCAAATCCCCTTGACTATGAAGCAATGCAGCAACACCTCATAGAGATTAAAGCCGAGAACCCAGGGACTCCCTCTATGAGCGATACAGTTACAGTTGAGATCAACGTTAAAGATGTAAATGACAACAGTCCACGTTTTGATAAAACTACCTATCAGTCTGAGATCACAACGTGGGAGTGGGTAACCAACAATCCTGTCGATGTTTTTGAAGTCATGGACGATGATTCTGGAACGAACGGTCAATTTATATTCTCCATGAGTGGGGAGACGGACAAATTCTTCATAGATGGAGAAACTGTAGGTGTGTTACGCATCAAAGCAGGTGCAAGTCAACCCGGTGCCTCGACAACATACAATTTTGACGTCACAGCTACAGATAAAGGTTCTCCACCACGAAGCGTCTCAGTCCCAGTGTCAGTTCAGGTGAAGAAAATAGAAGGCAATAGTACTGTACGGTTCAGTTCTAACGACTTCAGGTTTTCGATAGTGGAGAACCAAGTATATACCACGCCTTTCGGAATTGCAAAGGCTTCACATGACCCGAGCGTGTCAGTGCTCTATTCGCTAATCCGTGGTGGTGACTTCCGTATTGATCCTACCAGTGGAGAGTTGACGTGTAGCAGACCACAGGATCGTGAGGCAGCACCAAACTATACCATGGTTGTCCGTGCCAGAGATGTGGCCACTAATGCCTCGGACGTGGCTGTTGTAAGTATGGGTTTCCCCATAGATCTATCACTTGGTACCAACATTCAATGTTTGTATATTGATTTCAGTTTCGCAGCAAATGACTAAACGCTAATTAAATATTAGATGACGGTGAAGATCAGATGGCATATTGGATTCATGAGTCAAATATTTGAATTCCTGCCTTTTGATCGTACTGGGTGCCGTTGGACAAAACCATCTTAGCCCTCGGGTGAATTAACTCTCTTATTTTAACATTTACTACCCACCGTCGTAGCGCTAATGTTATTTTGTCCATGATGCCGAGTTTGTACCTTTTTCCACGTCAAATGAATACAGTTGTGATGCATCTACTGTACCTGGGAGTCTGGTGTCTGACTGATTAGATTAATCTTTGTTCCAGATAACAGTCACTATTGACGACATAAATGACAACACGCCTAGATTTCTGACAGTTCCTGCACAACATGTGTTCAGTGTTCCTGGAAAACACAATGGACAAATTTGTTGGAAGCATTATTGCCGAAGATATGGATGCAGGTGAAAATGGAGCAATAACCTACAGCATTGAGTCACATACACCTCGTACACGTAAGTCGTAAATATCACATGTAAGACAACTTTTAAATAAATGTCGAGACTGAAGCATTATGTACTGCATTCTAGTAATATTTTGTCCAACCGTAACTTCGAACATTCTTGAAAGCTTTCATGATTTATGGTTTCTGTGTTTCCATGGTAACAGATAATATTTGTTTACAAATGTCATTTATGCCAGCACTATGAAACAATGTCTTGTTGTAACTGGTTATCGTCTGGTGAATCTCCGCTCTGACCGGTCTTGTACAACACACCCAAATGCCTCAAACGGTAGACATAGATGTAACGTTCAGGGGATCTGAGGTTATCAAGTGACCAGACTCAGCCATGTTACTGTATGGTGTCAACATGTGGCGATGCCAACGGGAAGTATGTCCTAGAACAACAAATTCAATCAGCTAAAAACATTGAAAAATATTCATGTTTTTCGTTACGTATTGTATTGTATATATGTCACACTTCACAGATTTCTCAGTGAACCCTGGAACTGGACGCATTACTGTGTCGGGAGATTTAGACAGAGAACGTTTTGACCTCTACAGCTTAACCATCAAGGTAACTCCAGAAAATCCACATATAATCTGATAAAGTATGACTTGACTACTTGGCTAGACACAAGTTGACACAAAATGTATTCAATCTGGAAGTGATTTTTTTCACCATGTGTTTAATGCGTTTATGGTAACTGAAATCAAATGTCCGGTTCAATGTCCAGGCGACGGATAATGCAGTCGTCCCCTTAACTGCAACAACACAGGCTACCATAGTCATCGAGGACGTCAACGACAACCCCCCGACATTCACCGAGACGTCATATGCAGTGACAGTGAAGGAAGATAGCCACATGTCCACACGGGTAATCGATGCTCATGGTGTTGATCACTGGACTGTCTGGTCTGACTCCAAATTATTTACAGACAACAGCCATATAGCTGGAATATTGCTGAGTGCAGCGTTAAACAGTAAACCATTCCCAACAGGTATGAAGCAATGAGCAGAGATACCTACATGGGATAAAACACGGGAACCTATTGGTTGGAGGGACCCAGATGTACACATGGAGGATATATCATGCAGGTGCATGTAGGAATGGTAAATATCCATCTGTAGGGAGTACAGATTGCACTTTAATGGTGTGTTGCATATATGGTGTTTGCTCCAAATACGTGATAATATCGATTCCTAAGCCACGTGTGCGTGATCACATTTTTATCTCCGATGAACGAGGTCAATTCCATGTTACCGTTATGTCAGTGACGGATATTTATATGATGACAACACATCAACGATGACACCAGGTGTTGGTGAAAAGCGGTCTTGTTGTTCTTTGTCAATGGTAGAGATGTATATTTACAGCATACTGTTGGGTTTCCTCCTCAGGTAGGTCTGTCTTGTTGTTCTTTGTCAACTTGGTGTCCATTCAGGTAGTAGATGTATATTTACAGCATACTAGATTGGGTTTGAACAAGACATTTGCTTCCCTCATGTCACAGAGTAAAGGTACTTCAGTCTGCTGAATTGGTAGGATACATTTTGGCAGACAGCGACTGACAGGGACTTTAGGATTCCGGTATTTATATGATTAAATAATGGCGCAAGTCGGCTATGTTGCTAACGCTGTGACCGGAACTTGGTGTCCATTCAGGCGTTTTAGTGCGAAGCTCACTGAGATACCATACCGTCGGTAGCATGAAAGTGGAATCAAACGTAGGCGGTTGTAAATTATGTATCACATAAATTTGATGTTATCTTTCAAACATATGACAGAATAGAATAATAGTTTTAGATTTTTAGTTTGTAAAATATTCCATCGTGAAAATAAATTTGGGATTGGGATCTTCTGACGTTTGATTATAAAAAGATGCAATATACAAATTTGTTTCCTTGTATAAACTCATATGATACTTTATAAACAACTGTACGCATAAGATGATTTAGCACATAGAAGTCACTTCAAATAAATTAAATGTAATATATTTAAAATTGTTATTACTTCAATAAAGTAATCCTCTTCTGCAGACACTGGAGTTGTAAAAGTGAGCAGCGACCTCGACTACGAGACGACTTCAACATATGAATGCATCGTGACTGCCGTGGACATGTATACATGCAACAATGTCAGCGGACGCCTCACTGGATCGACAACCTTATCCGTCACCATCCTTGATGTCAACGACAACCCGCCGGTGTTTCAGGGGGCTCCGTACCGAGCTAACATATCAAGAGACGCTGGCATCAACAGTCTCGTCACTGACACCATTAATGCAACCGACAGGGACGGCGTCAAGGACGGCAATGGAGTCGTTAAATACCATATTCTATCAAGTATGTATTGTACTAATATATCATAAACCGTCCAAGGTAAACATGCATGTATCGTCGCTCAGGGAGGTTACATTATCTTACCTCACACATAAATGTCGCTTTCTGATTGGCTGAGCGCTCTTCTATTATTTTCAATGTACCCCGCTTACAAGCGAGTAACATTTCAATGTACCCCGCTGTCAATGGCAACTCATTCGGTACTTCGTGGTAGTAATTCTATATCTCGAATAACATTGAATCACGTATGATGTACGGAAATTACCGATGTTTTGCGAATGCAAATCGATGGAAGGGAGATAACTCTAAATCTGTTTTCTTGTCGGCAAAATCTAGCGAAGGCTACCAAAAGATTTGTACCCGTGCTTCAAACAATTCAAATTTGACATTAAGGTGCTCGGTAAGATAAACACGTTGTTCACTGGTCACGAGGGGGGGCATGGGTTGATGTACCCTCGATGTTTGTTTATGTTCCCCTCGCCCTTCGGGGTACATCAACCCATGCCCCCTCGTGACCAGTGAACAATTTATATTATGACGAGATGTATACCACTGCTTCAATAAATGGTGTGTACTGAAATGAAATAATTCATCTTTCATTATATAGAAACACCTCCTCGACTTTAAGGACGTGACTGACAGTTTGCAGGGGCATGTTTATATAAGGCGCAAAGTATGTTTGCTCGTTCTTTTGTAGAAATGCACGATGATCTGTAGCTGCCAGGTGCTCATAAAATCATTTTTGTTAAATTGTGCTGCACTCAAAATTATACCTTCGGGGGCGTTGGCTGCACTCAATATTATATCTTGGGTGACATTGGCTGTACTGAACATTATCATCAAGAGTAGACTTGATGAGAATTTAAAGAGATTTTTGGCGGCTAAAAATAAATTTTCTTCTGTCGTGAGAGAAAAGAAACGTTTGTATCAGGATAAGATAGTGAGATTGTTAATAGACAAACTGTTTAAAGTCAAGCATTTTGGAATATATTCAAAAGGTTTTAGGGGTCATCTGTACTTCATCTCAATATATCTTTGCAAGAGTGATTTGATTATTTCTGTAATATGTACATGGACGCTGCTGGTTTGGAAGATCGTAATACAACTTATTACAATATTGAATATCAGCCCACGGATAGTAATGTTACAACAATTCTGGACTCGTCTATAACAGTAGAGGAGGTTACCAAAGCAATAGGTACCCTAAAGTGTTCTAAATATGCTGGTGATGATAAGTTAATTGCTGAATTATTCAAGTCCTCTCCTGATATTCCTGTTCCGTATTTAACAGTTTTATTCAACATGATCTTTGAGAATGGTGTGTTTCTTGCTCAGTGGTCGGTTGGTCTTATTGTCTCCCTTCTATTCATAAAAAAGGAGATCGAGATTCTGTTTCCCATTCTAGAGGAATTACTATCCTCTGTATATTTAGTAAACTTTATATTGCAGTTATTAACGATAGACTTAAATTTTGGAGTGAAGGCTATGCTAAAATATCCGAGGCACAGGCAGGGTTTAGGACAGACTACTGTCGACACCATCTTTATTCTTCATTCTATCACACAGAGAATTCTGTCGAAAACGGGTAAATTGTATTCGTTCTTCGTCGGCTTCTCGAAAGCATTTGATTTGGTAAATAGTTCGAAATTATGGCTAGTTTTACAACAGAAAGGATTAACACCCAAGATGTAGGTTGCATCAAATCCATCTATAGTTGTGTTAAGTTTTGCGTTCAAGTCAACAATTCTTTTTCACAGTTGTTTGATTGTAATATTGGAGTTCGTCAAGGCTGTGTCTTGAGTCCCTTCTTGTTTTCCATTTTCATAAACGATTTAGCTGATAGTATAGAATCGTTGTGTTATCCGGGCATACAGTTAAATCCAGAATTAACTCGAATCTTTCTGCTTCTATTTGCTGATGATGTTATTCTATTCTCTGACACCATCTACGGGCTTCAAAAATGTATTAATGTCCTTGAACAGCATTGCAAGGAATATAAGCTATATGTCAACTTAGATAAATAAAAAATTGTTGTGTTTAGAAATGGTAGCATCCTTACTAAGCACGAAAAATGGTATTCAGGAGGTAAATTAATTAATTGTGTTTCCTCATATAGATATTTGGGAATAGTATTTTCGGAAACATTGCCATGGCATAAACATTTTGAGAGCTCTGCTTTACAAATCCAAAAGGGTCTGTTTGGTATTTTGAAAAGTTTAACACATGAAATGTAATGTCTTCTTCAGAATTTTTTACACAAAAGTTATGCCTATTTTGCTATATGGAGCCGAAGTATGGGGTCTAGACTGTGATGCTAATTCATCTATTGAAACAGTTCATACCTTAGCTTGTAAATATTTACTCTGTGTTAACTATGTACCCCCAACCACGTTGTACGTGGCGAATTTGGGAGAAAGTCTATGAATATCTTTGCGTACAAACGCTGTGTTATGTATTGGTACAAATTGTTGGGGTGGGGGATGGGGGTGGGGTGGGGTGGGGGTGATGGGATGTATCTACGGTATTGATACCCAAACTGCCACACTAAAAGCAGGGACAATTCCTGGGTTCAGACCAATGTCGAAACCGTTTGTGGGAGCTTAGCATCCGACCACGATCGGATACGTCTAGCGACATCTAAAGCTCCATCAGGCACGACTAGCCTGGTATAGGCAGCATCCCAGTTAAAGAAGTTTGGCCTGAGACCGTATACTGATTATATCCAGGCATCACATAGCTTGCTGTGATGGTCATGCATGGGTCGACAGGCATCCGGGGGAACGGTTTAGCGGCGATCGCGTCACTCGGTGTTGTCAGTTGTGGTGTGAATGTGTAATAGTATGTAGCGACATCACAAGGGACCTTTGTTAATGGAAATATAAATGACGAACACTACCAGGAGGACATTGCTCGCGATAATATGCTTCGCAAGCAGTACGTAAAGACGCAGCCCCATGACGACTGGAGAAGGCAGTAGAGCATGTCGACACTGCCACGCTCGACTGTTTCTCCAGACCTCTTCCTCATAGTTCATACGGGGGGTTCCCGTTTTGCCGGACGATTTTGTTCTAGATAACAATTCACTGATGCGCGATAATCCTTAAACAATAGGGGATTAACTTATAGTCTTTTTCGGCTATATGTACACGCTATAACTTCATCTCGATGTTTTCATTTTAGTAATTCAACATTTTTGGTGTATTTTCTCTTCATGATAAAATTCATAAATACAAATTTCGTACATCTTCAGAAGATGAGAAAATGAAAACTGAAGACATGTAAATAAATATGCATAAATATTTTTCCATAAATACACATAAAGATTTTTGTTCATAAATATACATAAATAATAATTATTCCAACACAGGGACACCAACTAGGTCTGAGACAAGATCCCCTAGAATTTGGAATGAACTGAATTTTGCAATGAGGGAACCATGTCTACTACATTCTTTATATACAGGCACAATGGCAGAAATAATCATTTGAATAAGTTTCACTCGATTTAGCTGATATAATTCGAGTTCACTCAAATTAGTTACTAGAAATCGAGTTCACCCAAAACAAATTGGAGCCTTGTAATTATTGAGTTTGAACTCTGCCAAACGCTCATGTCCCCCAAATGAGACTATTGGTGACAACTTCTTACTGAAAACAGACTATAACCGTTACTCTTTATCCGTTATCATCACATCAGCTGTCCGGCAAAGTGGGGTATGACCGTTCATACTAGGAACGAGACGGTTGGACGCTAACGACAATACTAGAACCGCCATGTAACACTAATCCTTCTCGGAACAGCATCCTCGTGCTGTTCTCTTGTCATCTTGTGTCTCTCTTCAATCTGCCGCCGCTACCTCAAACGTATCGATGGAACTTTTGGTAACACCCAATATTGCCATTGTTAGTGCGAGTTGCTCTGGTACCAGATATGGGTTTTGTCCAGTACTTTGAAATGATAAAACATTGTATGACAACTTATTATATTGTTGTTAAAAATAACATTGTACCCCTCTTAATAAGAAGCACACATACGTCTCTCCGTTAACAGTATGTAATGCACAATAATTTAGGTAAAATAGGTAAAACGCACATATCCAGAATGGCTTATCAAAGTGCAGTGAACAGAGACGCTTCGTGAGCCGAAAACAATTGTCAAAAGGAAAACCAAGGAAAGTAAATTACCTTTGATTCGCGTCTTTTCATTTCTGGAAAACACACAGTCCTACGTAGTCAATGTGTCGGATTTCACAGACATGCACGTGTTAATACTTCTCCATGTATTCTAGACACAGGCTACTTCAGGATTGATCGTGATACAGGAAGAATATACGTGGCTACAGCCCTAGATGCAGTGAATGATGACAAGGTCACTCTGAGGATCAAGGCGACAGACGTACCCCAGACAGACCCTGCTATGGAAACAATCACAGACGTAATTTAGTTGTTTTATATTCTGTCGCATTTAGAAATTACCAAAGACGGTTCACAGTAGATAATACAACCGAGATATCGAGTTATCAGAGTTCGACACACTGATGCTCGACTCTATATATCGGATAAAAGTTTCAACCGAAAGATCCACAAAGGAAAACCCATTCGCCCTTCAAAGCTGTGTTATGGTCAAATTACGGATTGGTTTGTTTGTGTTTAGTCTTAGTACCAGTGTTAAATATTGTAACGACCTTTTTACCCACAGATTACCATTTCCATCATAACTGACCAGCCGCGTCCATTCTTCAAAAAGACATACACCTTCCGTGTGAAGGAAAACGAGGCACCAGATGAGGACAAATCAGTCTCCATACGAGCCTATGTGAGGAGAGCTAGTGAAGAAGAGTGTAACTGCACCTATGATGTAATAGGTAAGTTACAATTTTCTATTGCATCAGCATTTTTTTAGTTATATAGCGATGATTTAAAAGGTGCATTTTCCTTAATGAATGCATTTATAGAGTTTCAAAGTTTACATGCTGCTGTATTTAAGATCGTTTTTCTCGATCCTTTCCACTGCTTTTAATATACTTTCCTTCGACTCAACCAGTTATGGGTATAAGTAATGTTAGCTTTAAAATAATATTCATAATTCTTCACATCGTATTCATTCAAATCGGAAAACACCATCCACCCCTTTCCAACACATGTATTATAACGATAGGTTTTGCGTTTGTGATCATATCCTATGAAATCGCGGATCTTTTCTGGTTCAGATTCTTCCAGCTTTTACATAGACAGTATTACTGGGGAGTTAAGACAAAGGGAGGAAGTAGACCGTGAAGAGACAGGCAGCCGGTTTTATGTGACAGTGAAGGCGACAGACCGACACAGCCTTCTCTACAGGACAACAGATGTTGAAGTGATTGTTGAAGACGTCAACGACAACTTGCCCTACTTCAACAGCACGCAGCAGAAATTTATTGTATATCAGGTGCGTATTTATTGCATATGCATATTCTTTGAACTGTGACTGGGATGTAATGCCGACTGATTCTCTCGTTCGACATTATGAGTATGATGCCCACTGACTACTACTACTACTACTACCTACTACTACTACTACTACTACTACTAGTAGTAGTAGTCATGGACGTCGTCATGGTCAGGGTTTAGAAGTAGTAGTGGTGGTGATCGTCGTGGTCGTAGTAGTAGTGGTAGTAGCAGCAGCAACAACAACAACAGTAGTACTAGCAGCAGCAGCAGTAGCAGTGTATTACGTTTGTGACTGGAGTAAATGTGATAGAAGATAAATCCAAGAATAAACATTTCAACAATTATACTTAAAGGTAATAGTAGTAGTAGTAGTAGTGGTAGTGGTAGTAGTAGTGTATACTTAAAGGAATGTAAAAGATTATTTTTAAGAACATTCTCATTTCAGAGTGCTCCAGTTGGGTATGTGATAGGAAGTGTGATGTCGTTAGATCCTGACCTAAACAGTCAGCCCAGATACACCACCATCCCAGGGGATGAGCCAGTGGAACTTCTTGGTAATGGAACTCTAGTAGTGAGGGCTTCTCTGCTGAACTACACTGACATTCGTGTAAGTAAAGAACTCGGCAAAGGGCTCTTCAAGCACTACGTGTAGTACTTCATTTATCGCAGTCACATGGTAAGTTGAATAATGTGCATTGTTTCTTTAAACTTGAGTGTGATTATCTTTTCTACAAACCCAATGAAATATCATGGATTGGAATTCTTTGTTTCTGATGGTCCTCTACAGAGACGTTTTTGAGGTCAAAAAGCTATTTGGGCGAGGAAGGTATTTGAATAACCGGTTTATATTTACAAATATAAAAATATCGTAATGACCCTGAATCTAAAGTTACATATTGTTTTGAAACTAATTATACAGTTGATGATTTTGCTAAAAAAGAACCCTTCTGCGCTTGTTCCGGAACACCTGGTATCATCACTGATTGATATGTGTTTACAAATACATGTTAGGACGCAGACGAAGTCGTGTAATGGACTCTACTTTAGAAGAGATTTCTCATGATTACAGAAACGTGGTGTGAATTGCCAAACTATGTTTTCTCCTCACCAGATGGTTGTCAGTGTGATAGAAGATAACTTTGATGGAACAGTCAACACTTTGCTACAAACGATCACACAGGTCTACATAGAGGTGCGACCAGACGATCATGCTCCCAGATTTGGAAACGGTAAAATATGTTCAACACGAGGTGCTCCTTTGTAATGGTATTTGTTTCTAAATAAGCCTTCATAATGATTTATTCTGGACCCATCCCAGATTTTGTTATTCATCATTGATTGTGTTTGTCCATTGGTTGAAACTAATTCAGTTAACTAGGACATGCTTACCATCACGTGTGGTTCAAGAAGGTTCCCAGAGGCTATTGCTTCAATTTTCTTCACTATGTTTGGTTTGCCTAAGACTATTCAGACACATTAAGGCTCCAAGGTTCCCTTTTCCTCTATTGTAGGTTACTATTACAACGAAAGTATACACTGAGATGATCTGTTCGCTTGCTTTCAATCATGGGTGGAAGTTTCAATTGTAATTATTGCGCAGAGAAATCAGAATTTTGAAACATTATTAAACATTTGTGTGATCACCGTCCACATAATGTCATCAAGGTTTGCCAAAGGATGTCTGATACTGACAGTAAAAAAATAAGACTTCAAACGAAAATATATTTCTTATGCCAATAATGGTTGTCACCCCCTTCAATTTTTTTAATTGGAAAGGGGGTGTGAGGTGTGGGTATGAGGTGTGTGTGGGGTTGGGGTGGGGAGGGTGTGTGTGTTGACAACCATTATTGGCATGAGTATATTTGAAAATATAATTCCCCTAGAAATATAAAAATGTGGCAAGTCGTGACGCCCATCTTCCGGTTGAGCATAGACATGGCTCACCCCCTGTGTGATAAAGACTTGCTGTCTTGAGACTGAGAAGGATTGGGATGAAGGCATCAATTTGTTGTTGTTTACGGAGGGAGTCATTTCAGGCGTCCTTAGGTTTCAGCCCATTTGACCTTGTCTTTGGCCGTAGTGGCCGTTAACCTTTAAAAATCTCGAGGGAGACATGGCTTAATGGTATATTTTTTCCTTATCCTGACTCATGCTATACTGCTTATCTCACTTCTCCTTTCGACGGTCAAGTGGAAACCTGAATCCCTTTTAGCTCCCGAAGCGAACGTACAATCACTCACCCTCGAGTTGTCTCCCCTTTCGCACCCATGAGACTCAAGCCATGCTGTCTTCACTCTCCTTCATCGCCCAAGCAGACGGTTCGGCGATTTCTTGAGTCATGCTTACGCCTTCATATCGATCATTTTATATTTAGGGCAACAATTTAATTTTTTAAGGCCGTGAATTAAGGCCTTCTGTTATGACAATATTGCATTTATTTACGTGAATTACGGCTAATTCTTGAGGTTTTTCACTCCGTTTGCAGGTGGCTGTATTAACATAGCGGCATGTAAACAATGCAGGTTTTACATATCAGCGGTTGACTCACACATTGTGTGTTTTTTTCTTGTGTTAATACATCGTGTTATCACGTTGTATATATGGTGCACATTTATCTGGAATATTTCAATTAATAATTATTTGTTATCCTGTTTACGCAAGGCGTGACAGGATCCGCTGATAAGGATGTTTCCAGTGATCTGTTCGTGAATTATCATCTCATCCACCCTCAGGGAATGTAACATTCCCTGTTTACCAATTCTTGGAGTCTCCCTTTGGGGTTATTCCGCTCTTGCAGAGACAGAAATGTAGGCCTTTCTTAAGAGGTAGTTTTTTTTCTCTTAGGGACCGTTCATAAGTTATGGCTAGGGGGGTGATGATGATTTTAAGGGGGGGTCCCCCATTTTGCTCATGGGAGGTAGCGGGGTATCATCAGTTTTGTACACATGTTTCTAGGGGGGGTCAGCAATTTTGTACATAAAAATATTTAAAAATTATACTTTTAAAATATGGAAAGGAGGAGGAGGTGTCATTGACTTTTTGTACATGCCATGCAGGGGGTCACTTACTTTGTACATAAATTGGGGGCTTTCACATTGTACATGCCTCTCCATACAAATCATCATCACCCCACTAGCCATAAATTATGAACGGTCCCTTAGGGAGGTTTAACCTCAGTACCTGTAGAAGAAGAAGTCGTCATCCTGTTTGTAGACATCCTCAGTGTGGCCATCACCATCGTAGACATCGTCGATGCATGCTGTTGAAGTACGTTCATGCGCGAACCTGGTGCCTACTGACGAAGTATGTTCGTGTGGGAACGACATCATCGATGCCTGCTGCCGAAGTACCTTCGTGCGCGAACATTTTATGCTTCCTGACGAAGCAGACGATTCGGGGGTCGCGAAGTCCTGTCTTCATCCAGGGTTACAGGGTTCGCGGACCCTTCAACGCAGAATTGTCATACAACAGCTGCTACATCAGCCAGGTAGTCTACACGAGGCAACACCTTGACCGTGACAGCAGAGCTCACGTACCCTTACGCCAGCAGCCAGTCTACATTGGCGCAGTCTACTCACGTTGATCAACCCCTCTTCGCAGCCGACTACTTGTCATTAGAGTCTGCAGTCCAGCAACCAGTTTGCGTTCACGAACGCCATTCCGTCGCCGACATCGCCGGATCCACTCAGTGTATCATCTACTACTCCTCCAGTGTGGACCAGATTTCCAGAAGGTAGTTTGGCGATACAGAACAGTTCTCCTTGGTACTCCAGCGTCTCCTCAATCAGTCCACACTAACGGCATCCTTCTCAGACCTTATCTATGTCGGACAATGCACAGAGATAATATCCTGGGTTGCTGATGGCCTGCCGTCCATCTAAGACAGAGTCTCTTCTTAGGGGAAGGGGTTTGATCTCCAGAGTTGGCAAAGAAGACGACGTCATCATCATCTTCGAAGTTGTGGTCGTCAAAGCCTGCTGCCTTTCTTGTGTTCGTGAATGCTCTGTTGCCCGCTGATGAAGTGGATGCTCATCTTGCTCACAGTCCCGGTTCTCGAACTTAATTTGTTGTGAACCCTTCTACGCAGATGCACCATGTGGCAGTTACAGCGTTGGGCATGCAGTCTATGCTCTACAGTGCTTCTACTGGTCCAGCTGGGTTCGCCAAACCCTCCGTCAGCAGCCAGTCAACTTTATCACTGCCTGCCCACGTCGATTACAGTTCCGAAGCAGGGCTAAAGGAACTTATCTATGCAGAATCATCATCCGGCAGCTTTAGTATCTAGGTAGCTCTAGGTAGTACCTCAACTGTTCAAGCAGGGTTCGCGAACCCATACACCGGCAGCTTATACACAGTCTACCCCCGGTTTTCAACAGTTTGTGAACATGTTCGCGAACCCTTCCACGTAACCGACCACACTAAATCAGCATTCTCAGCCGTCATCAAGGCAGTTCAACAATGGGCGCATCTACTGAGGAATCCAGTCCTTATGATACACATGGAGAACTCAACAGTAGCCTTCTACATAAATCTGCAATGCTCAACGAGATCAGCGCCGCTGCTACAACTGACGTTCCAGTTATCAACTTAGCAGACGACTTCAACTTATGGATGAAGGCCTGCCACATCTAAGGGGCAAAGACCGTCTTAGCCAACGCCTTATCCAGACCGTTCCGGCCATCACCCGCAGAGTGGATGCTGCACCCGGAATCGTTCCAGCTGCTGACCGACGATCAAGACTGTCCCCTGATAGATCTGTTTACGACACACTTCAGTGTTATGCGTATGTGTTCCCACCGCCAATCCTGCTACCACAAGTTCTACACAAGATCAACCTGACCAAAGTCCTGCGACTGATGTTGGTGGCACCCTACTGGCCGGCGAGAACCTGGTTTCCAGACCTAATACAGCTCTTAATAGAACCAACGCTACGTCTACCAGATTGGCCGAATCTACTGATCCATCCTCACGCAAGGTAACCTCACGGCAATCCACGAGAGATTCAGCTGCCTGAAGAGAAGCGGGTACTCCATCAGAGCAGCCAAGGCAGTGACACTGGCCTTAAGATGATCAACCCGTACCTATACGATGATAAGTGGAAGAATTTTGACCAGTTTGCTGCATACAAGGGGTTTTCGGCCGTGAAAGCTTCACATTCGCAAGTAGCAGAATACCTATGTCATCTGAGGGTTACTAGATACCTGAAGGCATCTACACTCTAGACATACCTGGCAGTGATCAGCTCCGTACTCATCATGAATAATGAAGTCAAACTTCCCAAAGTGCCTGAACTCGTCGTTTTACTGAGGTCACTTAAGCTAACACCAGCAGCAGAAGTGTTAGAGCTCCTGCATGGGACCTCAACGTAGTGCTGCAACATCTTAGCAGTAATGACTACGAACCACTGAGAGACTCAACGTTTGAGCTGTTAATTCAGAAGACGTTTCTCCTCCTTGCCTAAGCTGCAATTGCTCGGATGTCAGAGATACACGCCCTTGACTATGGACGAACCAGATTCGACTCCAGAGAGCATGCTGCAGTCCATCTTAGATGGGACTTTATAGCGAAGGATCAGCTGCCTGGTCACCTGGACAGACAATTCCACGATCCGGCATCATCTACCATCCTTGGACTAAATGATACACAAGACCTGTCCCTGTGCCAAGTCAGAGCCTTGAAGATCTACTTAAAACAGAATGCTACAAAGAGGAGGAAGTTCAAGCGTCTCTTCATCCTGCTATCACCTGCCACGACTTTAGAGGTCTCCCGACCAACCATCTCGTTTTGGATCAGAGCTGTTATCCTACAAGCCTACAAAGCAGCTGGGTTAGACCCTCCTAGAGATTCCAACCCACATGAAGTTAGAGCATTAGGCTCGACAGTCGCCCTACACGAGAATTGCTCTATATCGTCTATTATAGAAGGCTGCTTATGGAAGCCACAGGCTGCTTATGGACACATTGTTCGCCAACCATTATCTTTGAGATATTGCTACAGAAGATGTATCTGGTACCCACCAGTTCGAGTCCCTTGTAGTAGCACAACAACCCACGATTCCAGCTAGACGTGAGAAACTCACCCTTGTCACACGGACTTGTTGATGCCAGGCAACTGATCCATTGGCACAGGCAGAAAGTCCATGTCCCCCTGTCTTACAAGATAAGTCAGTGCATGAGTGACTTAGGCTCAGATTTGGTAATAGTCCTTACCTTAACATATTGAGTTGCAATTCCAGTTTCGGTAATAGTCCTTACCTTAACACCGCCATATATACTCATGCCAATAATGGTTTTGCCCCCCTCCCCACACCAACCCACACCCCACACCCCTCTCCAATAAAAAAATTGAAGGGGGTGACAACCATTATTGGCATGAGTATAGTTGGAATATTGCTGAGTGCGGCGTAAAACTAAACGCACTCACTCACTTTACCTTAACATATGGGTCGTTACAGATAAATAGTCAACAAGACGTACTAGTTTATCTTAAATCCACGAAATCTATATGAGTTTTACGGACGTAAGAGAAGGTGGTCCCCCAATGGTCATCAGAAAAATTGAAGCAGTTCAAGCTGCAAGAAGAGTTCCTACGTGGTATGATCGAACGCTGATGTGATCAGAACAGTCACAGTGAATCGCGTAGGTGGCTGAACCAACGCTTATTCCGTCGGATTCGTTAAGCAATATAGCATGAGTCAGGATAAGGGAAAATATATGTAAGTTTTATGATAAAATTGATATTTTATACTTATCCTGACTCGAAGCCCTTCGAACCGTCCCCTCCCAACCGCTATGGGTTTCCCTATAAGCCTTAGTGTGGGCGAAATGCAAAGAGGACAGCATGGCTTGAGTCACGTGGGTGCGATATGTCGGGAAAGCGGAGGCAACTCGAGGGTGAGTGGTTGTACGTTCACTTCGGGAACTAAAGGGATTCAAGTTTCCATGTGACCGAGTCAGGTTAAGTATAAAATATCAATTTTATCATAAAACTTACATTTTATAACAAGTTTAGTGAACTATGTTCTATTGTTTGGAATTGGACGTTTGAAAGCTTTGAAGTTGCTAATGATAATTTAATTTGAAAGAATCTAAGACAAGATAAAAGTATTTTAGGACCGATGAAAAGGTATTTGTAGTTTTGCCACAAACACCCTGGTCAACCATTACATGCTAGGTACCTTATTTTAATCTATGAGAACGCCAGTAATACTGACTATCTTGTGTCAAGAGCAGGCCTTAAAAAAGACAGCTTTGTCTTGTGATTAAGATGTGCTTGAGATGTCCATTTGCAAGCAGGTGCCTCGGTCTTTGATCATCATGTTTGTTATTTTTCATGACAACGTGACAAACATCAGAGGAATTATTCCACTATTGAAAAGAAAAGAAAGTTGTTACCTCTGCAAGAATTTGAAGTGTACTTTGGTACTACTTTGTGTCCTATCCAAGTGTACACCGATCACAATCAATGGAATTATACAAGCTTGTCTTTGCAGGAGTTTGATTTAGACATCAAACATGTCAAACGCTATATCATAGCAGATGGCTTAGCATGAGTTGGTTTGGGGTGATTTGTATTTGTGTAGACGTTTCTCGTAGTTATTCATAACTGACGTAATTTTTAACTATACCTAGCCGTTTTGGTATTTATGTGCTACTTCAATCAAACTTGATATTCAGCGAGGGGTATTCATGTCCTGTATTTACACGTGTACAATGTGTAGACAACCTTATAGGGTCTACAACCTTAAAGGCATCTACAGTGACGCTGAGAACAGTGTAGACATTAAGGCTGGCTATTGATATTGACCATTACTAAATATTGGTCGATTATCGATGAATATCGGAGAAGTAAAAATCTGAAAGAAATCATCATATTTCCTGTTACTGGTGAATGTTGACATATTTATGTATGAATTACGAAACCTGAAGTCCTGAGCATAATTTGGAGGCAGCCCATCTCACATTACATCAGAAGCAACAAGAAGAGGGGCAATTTATTCAAGGATCATTATGTATGGTTACCCTGCCAAGTAATTTTTTCCAAGTTTATATTACTGTTGCTGAGAGGGGGAAATTACTATTATTACGTGCGTGCATGTGTAATGATGACCGGACTTTTATATTTGCAGCATAACTATTCCAGAATATATGCAACAATGCACTAAGTCAGGCTCAGAATTGAACGACTTTGCCATGTGACTAAACCTGTTCTAACACAGCTGATCATATACTGCCGTTTATAACCATCTAGATCACATCCTCCTCCTTTACTTCAGAACACGTCACAGTTATGCTGGTGGAGGGAACCAGGAGAGGCACACCGATAGCTGATGTGAGGACTATTGGTAGTTTGGGAGGTTACAGCAACTACGATATGGAGACCACAGATGATACAGCTAGGGCCTTGTTCCTTGTGACAGCCTCAGGGCAAGTTCTCTGTGGACAGGACATGTTTCTGAGTGACTTTGCTAATGACGACACAGTGGCTAAAGAATATATAGTCAATGTCACAGGGACAATGGGAGGACAAAAAGCAACAACTGCAACGTTTTACATCTTGATCTTCAGGAGTGTTTTTACAACAACGATAAAGGAAAATTGGATAGGCAATATCTTGAGCTACAGTATAACGAGCTCAAAGTTCCGGATTGACATTAAGGAGGATACTGTCCCTGAGAGAGTACAACTAGCAAACGATTTGAGGGCCATAAGGTTGGTGAACAAAATCGACTACGAGGGTGGCATCAGAAGTATACAGTTTAAACTTGATCTCGTCACTATAGACAGTACAAAGTCAACCACAGTAAATGTGCGCATAAAGATTGAAGATCCTCCTAAATTTAAGAAAGCGGTTTACGACTTTTCACTGCCTGCTGGTGCTAAGAGAAATAGTGTAGTTGGTGTTGTTGACGTTTCTGGTGGAGATACAACTGGACAGACATCATTTCATTTGGAAGGCGCATATAGAGACGACTTCACCATAAACGAAGATGGTATTGTGACATCAAAGGTGGACTTAACAAGAGGGCGGTTCCCCTCCACGATCCCTCTTCGTGTCAAGGCTAGTGTTGGCGTTACCTACTCTGATGAAGCCAACATCACTGTGTATCTCATCTCCTGCACCATCAGTGCAATCAACCTCAACAAGGAGTTCCTTGGCAGCGTCAGCGAAAACAGCCCCCCTGAGACATATGTTGCCAATGTCACGGTGTCACTCTACACTGGTTACACATTTGCAAACCCTCAGGCTCTGAGTTTCTTTAACCTCGATCCAATATATGTAAGTATTTCATGTCCACTTCAGTATATTTACAGTAATATACACTTCGTATTTTTGTGTGGCTTGAAGTTTATTGAAGTTTATGCCGCATGCAAAATGCAAGTGAAGAGTTCGTGTATAACATGTGTTTTACAATTAATCTCATTCTCGTTGAAGGGAATCGTAACAACAGTTGCTGGCCTTGACCGAGAGAACAACGACCAGGCATATACTGAATTCAACGTACAGGCTTACATGGACAGTGGCGACCAGTGCTCCACTGTGGTCAGTGGTAGTTTAAGGGAGTTGTATGAATGTGTGATAGGATGTGTCCAGCCATTATTTTCACAGGTCGACGAAAAGATAAGTGTTTATTGTTTGATTGCATGCATATAAATGCCGTATGACTTTGGAATTATGATTAAAATTTGAATGTTCAATATAATATGCATCTATCTATCCCACAGACGATTGGTCAGCTCATGACGAATGTAACGGACGTGAACGACAACACACCAACATTTTCCAGACTTTCTTATACAGGAAGAGTGAAAGAAAACTCCAATCCAGGAACTCTGGTGGATGGTTTAGTGAGTTATTAGCCTCTAGTATAAATGTCCTCTGAGTTAACTGTTCAAGATTTAAAAAGAGCTTTATGTACAGAGGGAGATTTACTTTGTAGCTGTTTAGAGGTCACCAGAATATGTCAATATGCCCGGTTCAGTAGGGAGAGATATTGGCATTTTGCAGCTCTTAAGACGTCATCAGAACAACCTTCGAAATTAACGTCCTTGGGCCCAAAGCCGACTGAAAACCATTCTGTACTGACCCACTGCACTGCACGATACTGTAGGCTCCTTGTCTCATTTCAACACGATCGGCATCATTTGATCTGTGATTTATGTATTTCTTCTGCATATGTCTACACATCTGTACTATCTGCATACACTATCTGAACATACAATGCCAATCGTTGACTAGAGGTTGAAAAACTGTAAGACATCGCCTCGTTCTCTCGCAAAACTAAAAAGCACATGGCATCGAGCTTCCGGTCACATTACATATCACGTGACACCATAGATGCGTTCTAAAAATAAACTATGACTAGGACAGGCAACTCGGCAGCTACACACTCGGACCCACAGATTTTGTTTTCTGCGAGTCCTTATGGCCGACAGCTTTAACTCCAATAACAAAGAGTATTATTTTGTTGTAAATTTAACTCTTTAACTGAGTTTGTTATTTTGTCACATTATTTGTTTGCTCAAAATTACTTATATTGTAGCTAAAATACAGGGCCTACACATTCTGAGCAGGAACCACAACCTTTTATGGTTCTGGGTCCTTGGGGCCTGCAGCTTTTCAGGGTTAACGGCAGACACTGCACCAGAATATGTCAATATGTCCTGTTTTTCATTGAGATTCGACTTCTTAAATAGAGAGAGATATTTTGTAGCTACTTAGAGGTCATCCAAACATATAAATTCTCCTGCAGGTTGATGTAGCTGTTACTGACGACGACATCGGAGAGAATGGTGTTGTAAACTTCGCTTTGACAGGAACAGGTAGCAACTATTTTGCTGTTGAGAAATCAAACCACAACCAGTTCACCATTAAAACAAGCGGAATCCGGATCGACAGGGAAGAAACTCCATATGTACTCCTGACATTAACTGGAACAGACAACCCATCTAATCCCCAGACAGGCACCACTACTCTCAACATCACAGTCATGGACATCAACGACAATACACCTCAGTTCAACCCTAGGACGACTGTATTTTCGGTGGAAGAAAACGCTGGACCAACGAGTATCACTTCTTTAACAGCTACGGACGAAGATGAAGGCCGGAATGGACAGGTGTCATACACATTGGTAGAAGGGGGATTTGGACTCTTTGAAGTTAATGAAAGTACTGGTGCAGTATCAACAGTCAAGGAAATTGACAGAGAAAACAGGAAAGTCTTCAACCTGGACATCCAAGCAAGGGACCAAGGATCGCCTTCTCTCGAATCAGTAACGACAATTACAGTCAATATCCATGATGTAAATGACGAAATGCCAACATTTACGCAGACATTCTACAAAAGTAATTATACAGAAAATGCTCCATGTACCAGGAACATCTTGACAGTGGCAGCAACAGATCTGGATGAAGGAAGCAATGCCAACATCAGATTCTCAACAACAAGTTCCAACTTTACAGTCGATCCAACCTCAGGCACCATCAGATGTGCAAATCCCCTTGACTATGAAGCAATGCAGCAACACCTCATAGAGATAAAAGCCGAGAACCTAGGGACCCCCTCTATGAGCGATACAGTTCAAGTTGAGATCAACGTTGAAGATGTAAATGACAACAGTCCACGTTTTGATAAAACTACCTATCAATCTGAGGTAACAACGTGGAAATGGGGCACCAACAACCCTGTCGATGTTTTTGAAGTCACGGACGATGATTCTGGAACGAACGGTCAGTTGATATTCTCCATGAGTAGGGGAGACGGACAAATTCTTCATAGATGGAGAAACTGTAGGTGTGTTACGCATCAAAGCAGGCGCAAGTCAACCTGGTGCCTCGACAACATACAATTTTGAAGTCACAGCTACAGATAAAGGTTCTCCACCACGAAGCGTCTCAGCCCCAGTGTCAGTTCATGTGAAGAAAATAGAAGAGAATACTGTACGGTTCAGTTCGAACGACTTTAGGTTTTCGATTGTGGAGAACCAAGTATACACCACGCCTTTTGGAGCTGTAAAGGCTTCTCATGACCCGAGCGTGTCAGTGCTCTACACGCTAATCCATGGTGGTGACTTCCTTATTGATCCTACCAGTGGAGAGTTGACTTGTAGCAGACCACAGGATCGTGAGGCAGCACCAGACCATATCATGATTGTCCGTGCCAGAGATGTGGCCACCAATGCCTCGGACCTGGCTGAGGTAAGTACGGGTTTGTTGTACAGGCTTCAGTTAAGCAGCAAATACCAAAACTTTAATTAGATGGCGACGAAGATCAGAGGGCGAATAGGATTTATGAGTCAAATGTTTGCATTTTTTAGTTTTGCCCACTCTGGGTGACGTTGAATAAACCGTCTTTGCCCTCTGGTGACCGTTACTCCCTTACTTTAACATATGCTACCGACAGTCGTAGCGCAAATGATGGTTTGTACATCATTACATTAGGTTGTACCTGCTTCTTTTTCCCTGTGAAAGGGATACCGTTTTGATGGATCTGGTTTACGATTATCAAAACATTGAAGCTGTACCTGGGCTTTTTGTGCATGGCTGATTAAATTAATGCATGTTTCAGATAACAGTTACTATTGACGACATAAATGACAACACGCCTAGATTTCTGACAATTCCTGCACAACATGTGTTCAGTGTTCTGGAAAACACAATGGACAAATTTGTTGGAAGGATTAGGGCCGAAGATAGGGATGCAGGTGAAAATGGAGCAATAACCTACAGCATTGAGTCACAGACACCTCGTACACGTAAGTCGTAAATATCCCTTGTAAGACCCCCTTTAAATGAGTACAGACAGTGATGCCTAATGTACTTCCTTCTAGTAATATTCTGTCCAACTTGGAACATTCTTGAAAGCTTTCATGATTTGTGCTTTCTGTGTTTCCATGGTTTACAGGTGCCATTTATGCCAGCACTATGAAACAATTTCTTCTTGTAACTGGTTATCGCCTGGTGAATCTCTGCTCTATGACCTACCAGTCTAGCACCATACAGGCAAATGCGTCAAACTATATACATAGATGTAGACGTTCAGGGGATCTGAAGTTATCAGGTGACCAGACGTTGCCATATTACTGTATGGTGTCAACATGTGGCGATGTCAACGGGCAGTATGTCCTAGTACTTCAAATCAACAATCAACTTAAAATATCATATTTTTTCCTTATCCTGACTCGTGCTATATGCTTATCTCCCTTTTCCTTCGAATGGTAGGTGGAAACTTGAATGCCTTTGCTCCTTGAAGCAAACGTAAAATCACTCAACCAGTTCTGTTACCTCCCTTCCACTTTCCCGCCACTGTGTCCCACGTGACCAGCACCGAGGCTTGCTCTTGTCATTCTCTATTTCTTCGCCCTAGTGGACGGTGGATACCTTGGGTCCCTTCACGGCTTATATCCTTTGTTTTCTTTAGGAGTTTGTTCAAAATTATGCCGTGAATTGTATATTTAGGCATTTTACTAAGTATATGTTGAATATATTCATGTTAATAATTGTCTAAAACCTATTTTTTACTCCGATTTCAGGTGACTTAATTGTTATGCCTGCATGTCAGCAATGTAGAGTGCGTATGTCACCCTGTCTGCAATTCTTGCCAGGGTTCTTCGTGTTTCACGTTGTATATATTGCACACATTTATCCACAATTTTGTTTAATAAACATTTATTGGGTTGTTTACGCAAAAAAATAGACAGGGTTCGGCGTGATAACATGACCTACGCTGTGAGGGGTGGTACTCAGTCATCTAATCGTGAGTTGCTGCCTTTATTATCTAATAATACACGCCATAATATGTCATATGCCAATACATCCACTAGTGTATCGGAGTCACCAGATATGGACTCACCTATTTCTAAACAAATCGCGTCTCAGTCTCTGTCTAAAAGGAAACCCCTCCCAGAGAGGAGTCCGAATCACAGTCTTCTAAGAAGAAGAAATCTACGTCGTCGCAGACGAAGAAGTTGAGGCCAGTCGAAGTCTAGATCATCATTGAGATCTACCAGATCCGCCGTTCCAACTGCCGAAGTTAGGACGTTTGCCAACGACCTAGTGGCTGCTGATGAACTTCTCAAACTTATCCATGTCGTAAACTCCAACCTTGGAGCTGGAGATCTTCCTACGACCACAACAATTGTCTTCAGTTACAACGACGGGGGTTTCAATCCCACGATGCAGTCCAGTCACACATCTACTACGATGATGTCTTGGCAGTCTGCACCTTGCAGTTCATCTCAGATGTCATCAGGGTTTTGCGAACCATCAGACCAACAGGCAGCCTACGTCAACACAGACCACCACAGGGTTCGCAAACCCTCAGATCAACAGGCAGCTTATAACAATGCAGACCTCTACAGGGTTCGCGAACCCTCCAAGGCCATCAACTGATATATATCATCAGCAGATAGTGGACAACCCACTAGCGTGTGGGAAGCTCGTCATCAATGTCATCCAGCCAGGTTCGCGAACCTCTTCAGATTATACCTCACCATCAAGTAGCTACACAGGTGTTTAATCCAGACGATTTTGTCGACAACTTTACCAGTAAAGTTATCCAGGCTATGGAACGTCGACTAAATTCTGATCGTCAACCACCAGAGCCATCCCAATCTTCAGGGTTCGCCAACCCTACAGCAGAAGTTTTTCCAATTATGGATGATGAAGAAGATGAAGAGGATGAATCAGACTCCTTTATCTACAACCATGCGGTGGTATTATCATTGATTGCTAATGGTTTGCCTATATCCTCGCTTCCCCGAGACTCCAACCCTATGGACCATCCCATCTATGAGGCCGGTATCTCTGGTACCCTAAATTCCCTTTACACAATATGGAACCCTTCCTTAAGGCACCGGAGATCGATGATGACTTCTCTCTGCTTAGCGACTCGAAGTCATGCAGCTGTCGAGTATAGGATCGCACGCTAGCTCAACTTGACACAACGACCGGAAGGGGGCCGGGCAATCAACGGGCAATCAACAAAGCGATAAGACATTTAATGAACTGCAGACGGAACAAAATACAAGGTTTTGTCATCACTTAAAACTCAACAAAAAGATCAAGAATTCATCTCCGATCACTTGGCATCCACGTCAGCGGCGATTACTTTACGGCATCGTCAAGGACTCCTATCAGCGTGTTCATGGTCGGATTTATACACTAAACCCTTACTACGCAAACCTTGGTCGGCGCCAACTTTGTTTGATGGTGGAAGTAGACAGATGTCTAGAAAGGTATCTCAAGACTCGAAGGACCAGATGATAATCAAGTCCATGCAGACCATAACCAGTTCTAATCATCAATCGTCACATTATAACCAGTTCCTATCGAGATTTGCGGGCATTCAGAAGGCCAAGGAAAAGAAATATCCGGCTGAGGGCGTTCCTATGGATACTTCAGGGCATCACGACGATGAAGATCAGGTTCAGAGCGATTGGTGCGTGCCACCCCCAATCATTCCCATAGAACCGTCGACACTGGGTGTACGTCTGAGCAGCTACTGGGAAAATTGGAGAATGTTGGGAGACGATTATGTGACAGATTTTACGAGAGGGATACAACATTGAGCTTAACACCTCCGCTTACCATCAACCCTCAAGTGCATCTTTATCCCGAGCCACAATGCAGCAAGCTAAGGGAGGCCATTGACTCTGTATTAATAAAGAATGCAGTGGAAATCTTGCAACAACACATTCTCACGCCGACATTCTCCAATCTTCCTAGTACCGAAAAAGAACTCCAAGGAGAACTTCTCACTCATATACAATATGAAGCAGTTCAACCTAGATTATCTACTGAAACCAGACAAGTTCAAGATTTTTTATACTTGCCTCAACTATACTAAACCACAAAAGAAACGTTGCCTTTCAAAATCCATGCAAGATTTTGTCCTTTCAAAGCGGTGTTTTTAGAATGATTGTATCCTTTTGTTAACATGTTTTTCAGTCCAAATTGACAGTTATTACCAACCTCAGTGTGTTTTCTGATGAAAAAGCATATCGATCAAACGCACCTTAAAAGGCAGACGTGATAAAAGGTTCTGTATGACATTCGTGAAAATGAAAATGCACGTGCATATCGTGACAACCCTACCAATGAAAGCGAGTCCCGAACTCGCCTGAAATCACTTTTGTTTTGACACAATCGCCATGGCATGACTTAACTCATTAAGACCGAGAGCCCCATCACTACTCAACATCTGGAAGCCCTCGCTGATTGCCCCACTCTCTGTGCCGAGACTAGTTAGTGCTAGTCACACCTGATTTCCCTGGCAGGTTTCGGAATCACAGGAAACTGTCTAGTCGTACAAACAAGTCCTGATTGTTTAATTGTGTCGTAAAGATATATGTTGAAAGAAATCAGGTGTGAATACATGTCGTGTATTGCAAGCTTTATGTAATTTTATTGCAAGTTTCTCTTGTAGACCTTTTGTCGGCTTGTACATTTATATTTTACCACAATATGCATACACATGTATTCTTTGTATGTAACAGATGAGACACACGTTAACAAATTCTCTCTCTTATATCATTGTGTGAGGTTTAAATTTACAAAACATCCATGACAATGACATACTGTAAAGAAGAATTTACTTTTATACTTCATAATTTTCGACGAAAATAGCGGTTTTGCCGATACATTTCTAGTGTTTACGAATTATTTGAATGAAAGTACTATAACGCTAGTCTGTGACTAGCACAAAGCACAATCATAGCATTGTACTTTATTTCATACAGATTTAATGCAGAAAACATACGTGACCATACAAACATACATATACAAAATGTATACTACATATTCCTTGCATAGACATAAAACAAAGAGTCACGTGATAGGGCGTCATTAAATTTCCCGAATAGAACGTTCGGTATCTCAACTGTTCAATGTAGTGGCTGGTCATATGTTATCTGTGAGCAATTGTATCATGAGATACCTGACACAGAGGAAAGGACAGGTGATGGGACGTGGGCGAAATTTCTGAAGAGCACGTTTGGTCACTCAGCAGCTTGGATAGAGATTGGTTATTGACTATATCCTTGACCAGTCAATATGCTGGGTTTCGGCTTTATCAACTCAAGCTATCATGTAACAGTTTGTGTATTGTAAACATACACACTGGTATATCAACTGTTCTGTATAGTGGCTGGTCATATGTTATCTGCGACCAATCGTATCATGAGATACCTGTCACAGAGGAAAGGACAGTTGGCGGGGCGTGGGCGAAATTTCTGAAGAGCACGTTTGGTCAATCAGCAGCTTGGATAGAGATTGGTTATTGGCTATATCGTTGACCAGTCGATATGCTGGGTTTCGGCTTTATCAACTCAAGCTATCATGTAACAGTTTGTGTATTGTAAACATACACACTGGTATCTCAACTGTTCTGTATAGTGGCTGGTCATATGTTATCTGCGACCAATCGTATCATGAGATACCTGTCACAGAGGAAAGGACAGTTGGCGGGGCGTGGGCGAAATTTCTGAAGAGCACGTTTGGTCACTCAGCAGCTTGGATAGAGATTGGTTATTGGCTATATCGTTGACCAGTCGATATGCTGGGTTTCGGCTTTATCAACTCAAGCTATCATGTAACAGTTTGTACATGTGTATTGTAAACATACACACTGGTAACGATGTATGAAATACACACATAAGACAAATAGGAGTAGAAAGTCACTTTGGCGAGTTTATTTTTCCTCATTTTAGTGTTTTTCGATAAGTAAAACAAAGCGATTGAAATCCAACCACTGAGT